ATGTGTATTAAAAAAAAAAGCATATTTGACATATTTCTTTGACTTACTTGTCAGACTAATGCATTTTAAAATTTCAAATAGCATTAAAGAGGGTGAGATTGTTTTGGGGGTGTGTGTGTGTGTGTGTTTTAATCTAAATGATACAAGAGTTTTTAAAGCCTGAGAAACACTGAGCTAGATCCGTAAGGGTAAAGACCACATTTTATTCATTTCTGTATTCCCAGCACCCAGCACAGGACCAGGCACAAAGTAAGTGAGAGTAAATGTTTGCTGAATGAATTAATATGCCCACAGTCATGATGCCAACTGCTCTGGAATTAGAACATGCTAATTAGAACAGAGCAGGGCCTAAGCACTAAACAAAGCTTCTTCTCTTCCTTTCTTTATCCTTCCTCCTAGCCCACCCCATTCTGTCCTCCCTAGTTGAAAAAGAGTGAAAGCAAGAGAACAAGAGAGACAGAGACAGAGAGAGAAAGAGAAAGAGAGAGACAGAGAGAGAATTGCCTTGGTACCGGAATACCATTAAAAGGATTAATTTAGGGACCGGTGTTTGGACTGTCACATCCAATCACTACCCACAGATCTACAGCTTCCCAAATCAGGCTCATGCAAAGAAGAATCAATTGCAAGGACACAGAGGGTCTGAACAGGCATACTAATGGCCTCCTGAGGTGCCAGCGGCCAGCTCTGACACTCCCATAAATTATCCTCCTTTTGATTTTACCTGTAGCTGTCGGGCACAAGGCACAATTTTGAACATATCAAAGCAATCCCTGGTAACCCAAGGCTACTCAAGGAATGTCCCCAAAGAGGAAAGGCTAAAAACAATGACCCAAAGGGAATCTGCTTCCCAACAGTTCTGGTTCTAGCAATCATTAACTAAAACCCAACAGAACCAAATGGATAAAGACTCAAACCAAGCTCAGTAAATCTGGACAAGGCATGCATCAGACTGCAGTCCTGCAATGACTATGCAGCTCTCACTCAAGGAAAGCCAAGTTACGGCAATAAACTACTTTCATCTGGAGGCAAATCTGCCCTAGCTTTGACAGTACATAGAAGCATGACCTCAGGCAACTCACTTAACCTTCCTGCGCCTCAGTTTCTTCATATGATATCAAGGACAAGGATGCTGACCACCTGACCCACTTCCCAGAGTGCTGGTGAAAAGTAATTTTAAAAAATTTGAGAGACACTTTACAAAGATGTAAGGCCACAGGGTGGCAACACTAATAAATGACCCCAGACAGACAGGGAGGAATGGCTGGTCACACTTTGGTGAATTTCTATCAGGAAGTTGCTCACTCGATTTGCTTTACTGATGGTGTTGGGACTAAGGTCCACACTGAAAAAAGTTCTGGGATTCTGTTTTTTGTTTTAAGACAGAATCTCACTCTGTCGCCCAGGCTGGAGTGCAGTGGCTCGATGTGAGCTCACTGCAATCTCCACCTCCCGGGTTCAAGCAATTCTCCTGCCTCAGCCTCCTGAGTAGCTGAAACTATAGGTATGCACCACCACACCAGGCTAATTTTTTGTATTTTTGTAGAAACAGGGTTTCACCATGTTGGCCAGATGATCCACCCACCTCAACCTCTCAAAGTGGTAGAATTAGAGGTGTGAGCCACCACACCCTGCCAGTTCTGGGATTCTGAATGGAACACCAGTTGTCCAAAAATTTTCCATTATGAAGAGCAGTGCCTTGCTTTAGTAAATTCCTCCTGTTTGCTGGCTGCGACCACCACAAGTGGCTACATTTTTATCATATGTTCACAATGACAACTGTAAGGATCCAAAAAATACAAAGCCAAAGGCCAAGTCACCCAACTACAGGCTGCTTTTTAAAACATATTAATTATGTGAAATACTGTTAGTGATAAAAGTTATCAAGATGCTGTGTGAAGAGTTTTACATACATTATTAAATCCTCAGCCAACTCGATTAAGTCTCATTATTTCCATTTTACAGATAGCAAAGTGAAGCTCAAAGATGTAAGTCACTTGCCCAAGGTCACATAAACACTACTATGAGAAACCTACACTGGGGCTTATAGGATGAAGACCTCCTGCAAAAGGAAAGCAGGAAGAAAGGGAAACTGCAGGCACGGGACTCTCACCTATTCAACGGACACTCACCAAATACAGTATTTTATTTGGTCCCTGTCCTTGACACATACCATCATACCTGAACTAGGAGGCATTTCCAACACCAGGACGAGGTCATCAGTCTGCTACAAGCAAGGAAAGGAGAGACCAAGTAGGGCATATATAGAATGAGGGCAATTCCCTGGAAAGCTTAGGAAAATGAGTCATCCTCTGTGTGTACAGTTCAAGAAGTTCAAATTAATTGGCATTAAGCTGTGAACCCTAAGATCAAGACCCTTTCCAGAGCTCTGTTTATTCCATATCTCCTTCATTAAATACAGTTTCCAAATCCTTTTAATTTTTTTTTTTTTTTTTTTTTGAGAGTCTCGCTCTATTGCCCAGGCTGGAGTACAGTGGCACAATCTCAGCTCACTGCAACCTCCACCTCCAGGTTCAAGCAATTCTCATGCCTCAGCCTCCCAAGTAGCTGGGATTACAGGCGCATGCCACCACATCCAGCTAATTTTTGAATTTTTAGTAGAAATGGGGTTTTGCCATGTTGGCCAGGCTGGTCTCAAACTCCTGGCCTCAAGTGATTCACCGACCTCAGCTTCCCAAAGTGCTGGGATTATGGGTAAGAGCCACTTGCCCAGCTCTTTAAATTCATTTTATACCAACTTTCCCTTTCTATCTTTTCCAATCTGTAAAATGGAGCCAGTATCTCCAACAAATTCTTTGGTAGACATTCTATATGTTCCAGCAGACAGGAAAGAAGTTAGTAAAAAGAACCATTATACTCATACATGTAAAAATTCAGTTATACTCAATTTTTTTATTTATAAGAAAAGCATAGCTATAGATCAGTGCTTCTTGTTGTTTTTTGATTTTTGGTTTTTTTGGTAGAGATGGTTCTTGGTATGTTGACCAGGTTGGTCCCAATCTCCTGCCTCAAGTCTCGGCCTCCCAAAGTGCTAAGACTATGGGCAGGAACTACCATGCCCAGCCATGTACTCAATTTTTAAGAACCAGAACAATGCCACAAAAGGGAAAAATAAAATGCTATCCACGTAATTGCCACAGCCTCCTGACTAGTCTCTCTGCCTCCAGTATCATCTGTTCCCTTCAATCCATTTTTCACAATGAAATCAGAGTAAACGTTCTTTCTTTCTTTTTTTTTTTTTTTTGAGACAGAGTCTCGCTCTGTCACCCAGGCTGGAGTGCAGTAGTACCATCTGGGCTCACTGCAACCTCTACCTTCCGGGTTCAAATGATTCTCCCGCTCAGCCTCCCATGTAGCTGGGATTACAGACGTACACCACCACGCCCAGCTAATTTTTGCATGTTTAGTACAGACAGGGTTTTGCCATGTTAGCCAGGCTGGTCTCAAACTCCTGACCTCAAGTGATCTGCCCGCCTCAGCTTCCCAAAGTGCTGGGATTACAAGCATGAGCCACCATGTCAGCCTGCCAACTTTCTAAAACACAAATCTAATGTCAGTCTACTGCTTAAAAAACCCTTTAATGGCTGCTTACTATTCTTAAATCTGACCCAGAGGTCAGCAAACTATGTTCCATGGGCCAAATCTAGCTGCCACCTTTATTTATTTTATAAAGTTTTACAGGAATACATCCATGCTCATTACTTTTCATACTATCTGTGGCTACTTTCACGCATAACTGCAGAGTTGAGAAGTTGTGACAGAAACCCAAACCTAAATATTTACTATCTTATTCCTTACAGAAAAAGTCTGCAGAGCCCTAATCTTTCTTCTACCCCCTGGTCTAATCCTAAGAGTTTATAAGGCTAAAGCTCTGGCCTCTGCTTACCTCCTGCTTCATCTCTCCCTACATGCTCCTGTCCCCTGCCCACTAAGTGCTGTTTCAACTACACTGAACTTTCTCAAACTCAATAAAGCCCTGACACTTGGTCCCTCATATCTTCATCTATTTCTTTTCTCTTTCCTTAATTTTCAGTGTTGAGGGTTCGTTTAATTCTATGTGAGGTTACCACTTCTGAGAGGCCTTCCCTGAATCTACAAGTCTGGGTTAGACACCCTTCTGAGTATTCCCGATTTCTACACTTCCCTTACTATAGCACTCTCAGGCCGTATCATAATTGCCTTTTTACTATCAGTCTCACATGAATTTGTAAGTTCTATGGTGTCAGGGACAGTGGTTTTCTTGTTCACCACTACAATCCCAGGAACAAGCACAGTGCCTGGCCCTTAGTTATTGAACAAATAGGCTCAAGTCCTGGATATCAATCATCCAGAGTATGCCTCTTTAGCTGGTCCCTGATCCTTGTAAAATAGACAGGTTGGAACTAACCATCCACCAAAAGGTAACATGCAACGTAAATTAAACCAAGATCCCAAAGGCCTTGGTCAAATACATTAGCAAAAGCCAAATGAGAGCCAGGTGTGGTGGCACATGCCTGTAGCTCCAGCTACTTGTGGGATGGATCACTTGAGCCCAGAAGCTGAGTCCAGCCTGGGTAATTTAGCAAGAGTCAATCTCTAAAATAAACAAACAAATAAATGTTTAAAGTCAAATGAAGATGTTTCTTTCTACTTCTTTAAGATGTGTATTTCTCAGGATAATGGGTATTCTGGCTTTATTCAACCATCCTGAACATAAAGTAGGTGCTCATGAGATGCCCATAAAGCAACTGTGACAGAACTTGAGAGTCTGGATCTCCCACCTCCAACTTTTACCACTTTATAAACTTCAGGTAAGTTTCTACAGACTTTGAGCATATGTTACCTTATCAGAAGAAGCTACAAAAAAATACAATTTGTTTAGACTCTGGGGATATGTGGGGGAAAAAATACAATCTGCATCAGCCGCCACCCTCTACCCTCCAAGCCCAAATACTCTGAGGGAAATCAAGCCAAACTTGACCATGCAACAGGATTCTCACCTCTCCTTACTTCGAAGATCCCAAGACCGGCAGCTGGGGATGCTGAAGGTTCTGTGAAAGCTGGAAAGCCCCAATGCTGTGGATAAATACACATCTCTGCAACAAGTCTATTTCAATACAAAGCATCAGATCCCCATGAAGGATACTACACCTCAAACTCTAAACTCAAACTTTGGGATAACAGCTACCTATGTGGAAAGACAGTGACCCCGCAGAGCTTTCAGAAGCTATTAGTACTACATTTATAAGGATTTTCATGTTCTCTGGTCATATATTTTCTCTCCTATGGAAGTTCACCTCCTAGAAACACTAAAATTTACCATATCTGAGCTTGGACTGAGAAAGATAGTCACCAAGTGGTGCCTCTTTGGGTGATTTCAGAATCCTAGTCTAGACAAGGAGGAAGACACTGGTGAAGCTGACAGTATTCAGAATTAAGGAACTAAGGCTGGGCCAGGATTAGGGGAGGAGTTGGTTGCCACAAATCCACAAGCCATACTGCAAATGGCCACATAGACAAGGAAACACTTTCAGGATACTTCCAAGCCTACATCAAGCTTTAAGAAAGTCAAGGTAACTAAATTCCAAGTGAAACATCAACACATACCTATCATGCTTTTCAACTAATTCATATTCTCTAAAGGACTAACAGTTGCAGAGATGCCCCTGTTAGTGATATCTTTTCCATAAAGAAACACCTAGGGTTGGAACCAATATATTCCTGTCTACTATTCCACACATTTAAGCCTTTCTTCTACTCAGATCCCCTGGGAAAAGGCCACTCACCAATTTATCCCACCACAAAGAAAACACTTTGGAAATGAAAGGGAATAAAAGCACTTTTATTTGAAAATTTCAAGTTGGAAGAAGAGCTCTCAGCCAAACTCTATGACCTAGCTAGCTGATTATTTACAGGATCTTTGGGCAGGAATTGCTAATGAGCTTTTAATTTGGAGTGCTTAAGTTGCCAAAGTGCTCTGAGCTCCAGTGAAGCACCACAGAATCCATAAAGGAAACCTTATCAATCACTTCCCGGCAGCTCCCTTCCCCCAACCCCCAGCTCCTGAGGAAGGGCAGCCAAGTGGGTTTCTAACCAGGATCTCAGACACACATTAGTGGAGTCACACTCGAAGTCCCTGTTTATAAATTGGCTTTTAAATGGTAGGAGATTCAGGTATAATAAACTTAAGCTCCACGCAAGAACCCACTAAAACAAGGCATGCTGTATATGATAAAGTCAGAATAAAGCAGAATTTGATGAAGCCAATTTCTCAAAGAAACTCTACAATCGAAACTCATTTAGCCACTCACAACCTACTATGGTTTGAATAGTGTAGTCTTTTAGCAAATAGGATTCATGTTTTGCTGCCCCTCCGCTAGACTGATGAAATGTCTGACAAGAGTAAATACCATTGAAGTGGCCAGAGACCTCTAGCAGACGCAATCAAGGGCACTATTCGTTGCAAAATCCAGCTCTAAGGACAAAATCCAAACCCCCATTGAGGAGCCCCACATCCAGCATCTTCCAAGTCAACAAGGAGCAGTTATATTTTGCAAGACCTCAATCCAAGTTCATGCCTTTTTTTTTTTTTTTTTTTTAAGAAAACACCTGTTGCTGGACCATTTGCAAGACAGGCAAACAGAAGCTAGCCAGATTAGGCCCCTTATTCACTCCTTTCACCGTCACTATTGCCACCTGCAGATTTACAGAGGTAAACTGCTAACCTGGTGTGTGTGCATGTGTTGAGGAGAGGGTCAAGGGAAATGTTCTATCTACAATCTCCTTGCTCCATTTCTAGCCTCTCTGGTCAAATCTTTTTCTTCTCTAGTAATCCCAGGTAAGAAGTCAACCCCCTTAATAAACTCACCCATCCTGTCTTGCAAAGCTCTGCCCCACTCCCCCTCCACCAGAACGTTACTCAGTAGATTAAGCATACAGGGTGAGCACATGGGCCAGCACCCCAGGTTGCACAAAGTCTGCGCACCGCGAAGCTCACCCCGCATGCATTAACCAAGGCCCAATCTTGGGGGGACCATTCAGCATCACCCACCCCGGGGTGTTGCCCCCAACTCGGGCCCATCCAAGTCCAGGGGAGAGTAAGGGGAGGGGCAGGGGGCCAGGAGACCAGCCCTCCTTCCCAGGGCCGCCCCCGCCCCCCGTCAGCAGCGGGAGAGGCTGTCGCCATGGCAACGCCCCCTCCTCGGGGCCAGCGCGGCAGGCTCCCTCCAGGTGCAGGCCCCGACGTCTCCCTCAGCCTCAGCAGGCCCTCAGGGCAGTTGGCGGCGGCGGGCGCGGCCCGCGCCGACTGCGGCACCGGCCAGGCAGAGGCAGGGCCAGCTCCGCCCGCTCCCCACCGCCCGTTCCCGGCCGCCTCAACAACGGCAGCCAGCACCACGAGTCCACAACACACCGACTCACCTCCGCGCACTCTGACCCCGACCGACGCGGCGGACGGGCGGGCGCTGTGGCCAACCGCTGAGCTCGCTGCCGGACCCTTTAACCAATAAGCTGCAACGGGGCGGGGCTTCTTCTCCCCAAATGCTCGCTCTCCCGCCGACATGCGCGCTAAGGTATGTAAAGATGGTGACTCCCGGCGGCCGGCCTAATGGGACTTGTAGTTTTGACGTTGCACGAACTCAGAGGAGAAGGCGGGGGCGGGGGCATCACTTCTGAGCTGCGAAAGGAATTTTTTTAAAACGAAAACTTTCTAAGGCCTAGAGCGACCCAGGTCCCCCATCTCCGTTTTCCGGCCCTCCAGTAGGTGAATATGGGCTCACAAGGTGACAGATTCAATTTCATGACGCCTCATGATTCGTTCATTCAACAAGTAATTGTTGTCATCTACTCTCTGATGTGGGCCTGCGGGAGACCTGAGACAAGGAGGGGTTAAGCTAAGAGGAAAATGCTTCAATTACTGAAGGGCCGTCCTAAGGAAGACGGAACTAGCTCTTTCGGGTCCACTCAGAGGAAACTTCTGTTTAAAAGGCTTGCCTCAGCTGTGAGGAGCTCAGTCTCTCCAGTAAGCTGGAGAGACCTGTGTTTCTTCATGCTGGTTATGCCTTTCTGGGTAGTCATGGATCCCAGATTATGAGCTGGAAAACCTCAGCCTTAGCCAAGCCAACGTTGGCTTTGACAGCTTTCCAACCGATCAGGACCCCATATTCTGGGCCCAGCTTCAGTTACCAAGCCTCTCTCTGCGCTGTCTGCATATTTACACTTAAGACGATGTCACTGGCTGGCCGCGGTGGCTCTTGCCTGTAATCCCAGCACTTTGGGAGGCCGAGGCGGTCGGATCTCGAGGTCAAGAGATGGAGAGCATCCTGGCCAATATAGTGAAACTCCATCTCTACTAAAAATACAAAACTTAGCCGGGCGTGGTGGTGCGCCTGTAGCCAGAGGCTTTACTGACCTTGGGATACGTCTGTCCTCAGGAGGCTGAGGCAGGAGAATCGATTGAACCCCGGAGGCAGAGGTTGCAATGAGCCAAGATCACACCACTGCACTCCAGCCTGGCAACAAAGTGAGACTGTCTCAAAAAAATAAAAGATGTCATTTCTGGGCCTACCACATCTGAGATCGGACCTTAAGGTAACGATTCCCACCTGAGCTGGGAGTGCCTGGTAATCCCCTTATCAGGGAATGCCTTCCTTAATCCCACCCATGTAATAGGTTAGGTGATTCTGTGCACCTACAGCATTTATCATATTGTTTTATAATTATCTGTTTCCTTGTTGTCACTCCCACAGTGTTGTAAGCCCTTTAGGAAAAGTATTTTTTTTATATTGTTCGTGTTGTATCAGTAATACACAGCAGTGCCAGGCATAAAGAAGGCCCACAATAAATGTCTGTGAACAAATGAGGGAATAAACAGCGGCAGGGACATAAACAGCAACAGGGACAGATGTATCCCAAGGTCAGTAAAGTAGATGCACTATCCCCCAATTCTTGGAGCCGGAACAGATTCTCCTACTGTTAACATAGACATTAACTGTCGTACAGCCAGTTGGTCAGTCAGTCCACCTGTGTTTATAATGCCTCTCAAGTGTCAGACATTGTTTCTGTTGTTGAGGATTCACTGATGAATAAAAACACACAAAACTAGTATTCTCAAGGAGACTTTAAATTGGAGAGGGAAGCTGGGTGCCATGGCTCATGTCTGTAATCCTAACACTTTGGGAGGCTGAGGCTGGAGGATCCTTTGAGACCAGGAGTTCAAGGCCAGTTTGGGCAACATAATGAGATTCCCATCTCTACAAAAAAATTTAAAATTAGCCAGGCATCGTGGCACGTACTTGTAGTCCTAGCTACTCAGGAGGCTGAGGTGGGAGGATCACTGGAGCCCAGGACGACAAGGCTGCAGTGAGCCATAATAAATAAATTAGAGGGAGCAGCAGGAGGAAGAATAGATAATAAACAAGTACATAAATATAAAAATAAGACAAATAAGAGGCAGTGAGATAGCTCGGTTATATACTGAATTATGGCCTGAGCATAGGGCACAGCCAACCTTGGCCATGAGAATGTAGTAAGTCTATACTATCTGGATTCAAGGCTTTATTTAATGCCCAGCTCCAGCATCCTCTGTGGAGCCTTCCATGGTCCCCTTGACTCCCCTAGAATGTGCTCTTTCCTCCTTGGTGCTCTAGGGCTCAACTGTACAGCTTCCAGGACTTCACCACACTGTAGGCTCTTTCTGTACAAAAACCAGGCAAATGCATTCAAATAATAGAACGATTTGACAGCTCAGTATACACTTGGTGCCTTACACTGCCGCCTGACCCAGCACTTGGCTTTCCCAAGCCGTGGCTCTGTTGTATGCTGTCTGGTTCCCTAGAAAACAGAACCTGGGCTGGGCACAGTGGCTCATACCTGTAATCCCAACACTTTGGCAGGCCAAGGTGGAAGAATTGCTTAAGCCTGGGGGTTCATGTCCAGACTGCTCAACATAGCAAGATCTCATCTCTGTAAAAGAAGAAAACAGAGCTGAGCTAAAACTTATGTGCTCAAATTTAACTGGGGAGTATAATCCCAAGGCATCAAGAGTGAGGGGAGCCAGGCATGGTGACGCATGTAGTAGTCCCAGCTACTCAGGAGGCAAGAGACTGAGGCAGGAGGATCACTTAGAGTCAGGAGTTCAAGACTAGGCTGGGCAACATGGCAAGACCCCATGTCTTAAATAAATAAGAAAATAAAAGAGTATGGGGAAAGGGGAAGTGAGACAGGGAAGGAGGGAAAGAAAGTACATGATAGTGTCTTACTGAGAAGTTGTCCAGCGCCTCAAAGAAAATACAGCTAGTTGCTCTGTCGTACAGGATATATAGAACCATCCTGTCTGACAGGAAGGGTTGTGTTACCCCACCACTGCAGTAGCCACAGGGGGTGCCAGATTCCACACCCTGAAGCACATTTATTTGAGACTAGAAAAGGTGAGAGGAATGAAAGCCTCTGGTTGGGTCAGATTAGGTCCACTGCAGTCCCACCACAGTGGGCACATTGGAGGCTGTGTCAAAACCTAACCCTCCTCCCAGGGGAAACTAAGATAACCAGAGGTGTTAGTAAATGAGGTGGGAGTGGCAGTTGGGCTGTCCAACAAACAAGTGGCCAATGGCCAGAGTTGGGGTTGCAGACGAGGCAAGGGCAAGTGAATTTGTGGGGGCAGATGAACTGAGTCCAACACACAGACACCTTGGCTGCTGGATTAAGTGACTGAACGAAAGTGAACACTGGGAGCAAGAACAAAAGAGAGGACCAAGTTAGGCCTTCTTATTCCCCATCAAACCACCAGGAAACGCAGCAAGATGGCCATCAAAGCTAGAAAACCTTAGCTGTCAAAGCACAGAGAATGCAGGACCCAAGGATAATGCATGGCAGTCCCCAAACTTTGGCACAGCTGAGAGAACCCAGACTGGGTCTGAAACCATTTTATGTGGCAACTGGAAAAACTGCCACTGCCATCGTAATCCCTATAAGCTATATAAGACAGCATAAGAGGGTGGGCTCAGTCCTGGCTCCATCTGTGACCTTAGGCAAGTCACATACCTCTCTGAAGTTCAGTTTCTTCATCTCTAGAATGTAGATAATACTAGTATCTACCTGTCATTGAAATTAAATACACAACTGCTTAGCACTGCCTAGAATAGAGAGTTCAGTAAATAGTGGCTATTACTATTATTCTCATCCTTCCCCTACCCCTCTCTCTTGCCCCCTTCCCACCATGACCACCACCACCTCCCCTCCTCTTCTCCCTAACCCTACCCCCAGCAGTCTTCTGCTGCTCCAGGAGGAATCTGGCCATGCCGCTTTCTTCCTGCTTCTCCCCAGGGCTGTTCCCCAAGAGCCTGAGCCATTCATCTCCCTGGTGACCTGAATCTGAACTAAGAGATGGATGTGGGGTGGCTGAGGCCAGGGTGGTAATGTGCTCCCTTATCTCCGTGCCCCTCACTAGGGCCTAGTTAATTTTCCCTTTGATTTTAATATAGATTTATTGAAAGTTTCAGTTATCAAAACAAACTGCAGCAGCAAATTGGTGTTCTTTGCAGGCCTACAAGTGCCTATAAAGCTGCCATGCTCGGGAACGAATGGCGCTCTCCGGGAGGTCAGTCATGGCAACAGGAAGTCCCTGGGGACACACACACTGCAGTTTAATATTTTTCTTATTAGCCTTTTTCTTCTTGGCTATCTAAGCCTCCCCTCTAAATCGGAAATCAAATGGAGCCACCTGCCCAGGGAGGTTCTCTTCCTTAGGCTGCACCACTATCTGCCTATGCTCTGTCCCCTCTCTAGTCCCAGGGCCTTTACCTCAAATCCTGTGACTCCACCTTGATTTGCCCTAGGCCCAGAGAGAGTCGTGATTCACCTGCCCCAGAGGTGTGGTTCACAAATGTGAATCCCACAGCTTTGTCCCAGCTGTACAAAGTCTGCTTGGGCTCTCCAGCCACTAGTCAGAGGCAAAGCAGCCCTAGAAAAGATTGGGGCCCCAGACTTCTTCCATATCTGGTGCTCAGAAGGGAGGAAAAAGCAGTTTGAAATCAAATGAGTTGCTTTCAAAGAGGCAGATGGTCCTGTCAGGATGTACTGAACTAAACAGAAGTAAAAAGGAGAAGGTGATCCTAGAGAGTGGGCAAGCTCTCCTTACAGCCCAAGATTTTTCTGATTTTATACTCATAGCCCCAGTGCCACTCCCAATACTCCCCACCACAGCTTGATTTTTGAGGCTCCTCTCTCTGGCCCCAATTTGCCTCTGTAAGGACCAGCCAGCACTCTCTAGTGCCCCAGGGGCTCCTGTAGCTCACTACCACTTCTAGGCTCTGGAATCAGTCCTGTCCCAGCAGAGAGTCTCCATGCCTAGACCTAGGCTGGAGTACAGTAGCACAATCATGGCCCATTCCCAAGCTCGACTCCCAGGCTCAAGTGATCCTCCCACCTCAGCCTCCCGAATAGCTAGGACTATGGGTTTGTGCAGCTTCACCCGGTTACTTTTTGTTTGTTTGTTTGTTTTTGTAGAGACGGGGTTTTACCCTGTTGCCCAGGCTGGGCTCGAACTCCTAGACTCAACTGACCCTCCTGCCTCAGCCTCCCAAAATGCTGGGATTATAGGCATGAGCCACCATACCTGACCCACATCTGGTAATCTTGAGGGCATCATCATCCTTTCTGGGCCTTATGTGTAGCTGTGTCACCTGTATGAGTCACATCCCAATTCCCAATGTCCTCTCCTTATTCTTAAAAATTCTGTGCTAGGCCGGACGTGGTGGCTCACACCTGTAATCCCAGCACTTTGGAAGGCGGAGGCGGGTGGATCACGAGGTCAGGAATTCAAGACCAGCCTGGCCAACATAGTGAAACCCCATCTCTACTAAAAATACAAAAATTAGCCAAGTGTGTTCCCAGCACATGCCTGTAGTCCCAGCTACTCAGAAGGCTGAGGCAGGAGAATCGCTTGAACCCGAGAAGCAGAGATTGCAGTGAGCTGTGATCACACCATTGCACTCCAGCCTGGGCAACAGAGCAAGACTCTATCTCAAAAAAAAAAAAAAAATTCCTGCTAGCAGCAAAGGCCACTGCTGTCCTTCCTCAGTACTCAGACTATGACTAAGGGTCTAGACTTAGCTGTGCAGCCAGAGTGGTGGAAGATGCTGAGGTTTTGATCCATACAGTCCAGGATTTGAATCCTGGCTCTGACACTTACTGACTCTGTGACTGGGGAAACTTCTTTCTGGTTTTATTGCACCTTCTGCTTACATCTACTCTTGTCTAGGGAACACAGTAATAAAGTGGTTTGCCTCTGTTTCTCTCTCCTACAATATTCTGAGATCCTCAAGGAACAGGACTGTGTCTTATCTTCATATTCCATGTGCATGTAGTTGATGAATAACTGAAGACAGCTTCTTTGAGCCTGTTTCCTCAACTATAAAATGGAGGGAGTAGCTATATCACCAATATAGTGAAGAAAGTGCTACCAGCATAAGGTAGGTATTTGGTGAGTAAAGTTTCCTTCATCAATTTTCCTTTGAGTTTGGTCATCAGTCATGAACACTCCTACTTTTACCTGTTCCCACTTCAGCTTCAAGTTCAGCTCTCTCTTTTCTGCTCAGGCTTTCCCATCACTGATCAGACACCAGCATTCACCCTGGCCCCTGTGGAGTGGTGCTGACTTCTTTCCTCCAGGCCAGGCTCCCCTCGTCTTTCCAAACCCACTCAGAAACTGCTGCCTCCTGGTGGCTCTGTTTCTAGTCAAAAGTCTGATTCCGTAGACTGCCTTGTAGTTCATCTGTAGCAATGCAGATATTCTCAAGCCAATAATCTATCCTGGCTCATAGTACAAATGTGTTTATATTTATGTTGATATACTAGTCTTGCTAATTCAAGGCTCCCACCTATTCCTATAAAAATACCAATCCCAGCTGGGTGCGGTGGCTCATACCTGTAATCCCAGCACTTTGGGAGGCCAAGAGGGGTGGATCACCTGAGGTCAGGAGTTTGAGACTAGCCTGGCCAACATGGTGAAAACCTGTCTCTACTAAAAATATAAAAATTAGCTGGGTGTGGTGGTGGGTGCCTGTAATTTCAGCTACTCGGGAGGCTGAGGCAGGGAATCACTTGAACCCAGGAGGCAGAGGTTGCAGTGAGCCAAGATCGCGCCTTTGTAGTCCAGCCTGGGCAACAAAAGTGAAACTCCATATATATATATATATATATATATATATATATACACACATACATATACGTATATGTGTATGTATAATATACATATACGTATGTGTACATATATACATATTCGTATATGTGTACGTATTATGTGTGTGTATATATATGTGTGTGTGTGTATATATATGTATATGTGTGTGTATATATATATATATATGTATGTATATATAAATACCAATCCCTAGGTAATTTATATGGGGGCTGAAAAACCTCTCAGAGAAAAACAAGTAAATGTGAACCAAGCCCATAATGGGATCAGGTATATACCAGCACGATTAGAGTAAGGATGTGTGGTTAAACCAAAGGACAACAAATTGCTGGATGGACAGCAGAGCTCCAGTGAGTGACTTCATAGGAGCTATGAAGCTCCTCCTTCCTGGTCCTGATTTGGCAGTCAGATCCTCCATCCTAAGCCTCCAGCCTCTGCTGCTAGCCTTATTTTCTAGTCATTCTTTTAACTCCTGTTCTCTTCCAGGCCCAAGGGACAAATTCCTACTTGTCAGGGTGCTTTGCACTTTTTAGCCTCCAAGCATTTGTTGGCCGTTATTCTCTCAATGGGAAGGCCTACCCCATTCCTATCTCCATCTGTTGAACTCCTGGAGAATGATGCCCTGCTCCAAGGAGCATTTTCTTAGTGGCTGTTCCTTCCCATCTTCTGAGTGTCCCAAGCCCTTCCTGCATCTCCTGCCCTGAAGAGCACTCTTTAATCCACAGGGCAGGGGGTTGCTGAGCAATCTTAGTGTCTAACCAGTGTTTGACCACAGCCCCAAGACCTGAGACTTCTAGAGGGCCTTTAGGAAGGCATCTGAAGCCTTCAGAGCATCTCTTCTAGCAATCCCAGCACAGTCCTAAGAGCCTGAACCCATGCTTTTCCAAGTGTATACTTTTTCAATTCAACAAACATTCTTTGAATACCTATTTTGTGCTATGTTCCATGAAAAAGCACAGGACAGGAATATGAACAACAGACACAGTCCCTGCCCTCATAGAGCTTACATTCTAATGAAGGAGACATACTGGTAAAGAAATAATTATCAGAGTGATAACTGTGATTATAGAGGTGCACTTACAATAAGGGTTTAAAGATGAGGCATCCCTTACGGCCCGGAAAGCCCTCCCAGAACAAATGACATTTAAGTCTTAGTCTTAAAGGTCAAGTAGGAATTTCTTAGACCAAGAAGGCGAGAAGGGATTGAAGAGGGGAGCACATTCCAGGTGAAGAGAATAACATGAGCAAAGGTACTAAGCAAAGAAATGGCCCATGTGAAGATGGAAAGAAACTTAGTAGGACTGGAACAGAATGTGTGCAAGGGGAGCGATGAAAGAGGAGTTTGAAGACAAAGGCAAGAGTTAGATCCTGCATAGTCTGATGAGCATTCTTAAGGTGTTTGGACTTGATCTTGAGGGTAATAGAGAGCCACAATTGGGGCTTCTGTGTTACAGCAGTGCTTCTTGAACTTTAATGTGCATTCCAATCACCTGGGGATCTTGTTAAAATGTAAATTGTGCTCTTCCGGTCCTAGGAGCTTCGGGAACCGCGGCTTGGGTGCAGACATGGCCAAGTCCAAGAACCACACCACACACAACCAGTCCCGAAAATGGCACAGAAATGGTATCAAGAAACCCCGATCACAAAGATACGAGTCTCTTAAGGGGGTGGACCCCAAGTTCCTGAGGAACATGCGCTTTGCCAAGAAGCACAACAAGAAGGGCCTAAAGAAGATGCAGGCCAACAATGCCAAGGCCATGAGTGCACGAGCTGAGGCCATCAAGGCCCTCGTAAAGCCCAAGGAGGTTAAGCCCAAGATCCCAAAGGGTGTCAGCCGCAAGCTCGATCGACTTGCCTACATTGCCCACCCCAAGCTTGGGAAGCGTGCTCGGGCACGCATTGCCAAGGGGCTCAGGCTCTGCCGGCCAAAGGTCAAGGTCAAGGCCAAGGCCAAGGATCAAACCAAGGCCCAGGCTTCAGCTCCAGTTTCAGTTCCAGCTCAGGCTCTCAAAGGTGCCCAGGCCCCTACAAAGGCTTCAGAATAGATATCTTTGTCTGCCAATGCGAGGACAGAAGGACTGGTGTAACTCCCCTGGGGCTGCCATCTGCATGGGGCTGGGGTCCTCCTGTGCTAATTGTACAAATAAACCTGAGGCAGGAAAAAAAAAAAAAAAATGTAAATTGTGATTATGTGGGTCTGGAAAAGGCCTCGACTCTGCATTTCTAACAAGTTTCCTGGGGAGGCTTGTGCTGCTGCTCTTCAGACCACACCTTGAGTAGCCAGGTTTTAGTAGCGCCATCTCTCTGGCCTCCCTTCCCCATCTTCCCACCTTCCCCAAACATGTACACTCACATCAGCAGGCACAGAGCATTTTTCTTTCTCCTGAGTCTGGTTTAAGACTACGGTGACTCTTGCTTTTTTTTTTTTTTTTTTTTTTAGCATCTGTATTTTAGGAGCCGTTTATTGAATATTTGTTCCATATCCAGCAAAGTATCAGGTAAAGGGTGGGGGTGGGGGTCTGGGGGAAGATAAAAAGCAAGACATTTTCCTGCCCAAAAGTGTTTGGTGTCATCTCTATCTCTGAAGGGGCAGCTTTTCCTGAGCTGCCCTCTGCCAGACCTGTCATAAACATGCTAAATGAGGCCTGTCTCAGCGGTGCTCCCTGGGGTCCCACCGCCTCTGCAGCCCCATCCAGAGATGAGCCTGTTTATCCCTAACTGTTGTCTCTGACCTCTAAATCAATTCTCTATCTGATACAAAACCTCACTCCTCCCCTACCCTCCTCCCAATTCCAGACTAGGTCAATTTGTAACACCAGAGGCAGTAAACGATGACAGTGGTTACACGTACGAGCTCTGAAATCAGACTGCCTGGGTTCATAGCCCGATTCCATTACTTATTAGCTGAGTGAACTTGGGCAAGTAGCTTAACTTCTCTAAGCTTCAGTCTTCTCATCTGTAAATTGGGGACCGTATTTTGGCCTTTGGGGCTGTGGTGATGATCAGATACAACAATGTATATAAAACAGCCTTTGAAACATGCAGAAAACATCCAATCACTATTATCTGTTGTTTTCATAGATATGAAAAACTGTGTTTGTGTAAGCTCATTAAAGCTCTTTGAAAGCCTGTATATGTAAAAGTCACTGTTGTCCCTTAAACACCTATGGCTTTTCCTATTTGCATCATCGCCTCCCTGATGCTGGGGAGACAGAGCACAGCCAGAGATGTTTAACCCAGAAGAGCCCTGCTGGATGAAGCAGTCTTCAGAAGGCTCTTAAGGAACAAGAGGTTTCAGCTCCCAAAGCTGAGGCTCAGTGTTGGAGGGGGGATGCTTGGCAGACCCCTTCCCACCTCAACCCCATCCCCATAGTGTCCCCTCCGTCCAGGGTTATCCAGGCTGCCCTCCTTTCAGCTGCAGTGAGAGGCAGCTTCAATCATTCATCTTAATGTGTCTATTAAGCAGGGTTATGACCAGGACGAGACAAGAAACAAGGTCTTTTAGTGTAAAAACACAGCTCCAGGGCTTGGTCCCAGGGGACTCCTCCTTGGCATTGCTGCTGCTCCTGGGCTACTGCTGCTGGGGGGGGGGGGGGCACTGAGGTTCCAGATTGGGCGAGAAGATTCTGCTGTGAGTTCTCCCTCCTCTCTCTTCCTTTGAGCCTCCTAAGGGCCTGCCTTTTCCATTTCCAACAAGAGGAGCAATAACTTGGCATTTGGAGGCAGCCATGAGGGCCTCCAGGCTGTCTTTGTGTTAGGCCTGTATCCTGACTAGGGATCACTGTCTTCATCATCATCTCACCTCTCACCAGCCGTGTGGACATAGCTGCAGCCTTAGCCACTGGGCCCTGGATAAAATAGGCCCTCATCTGGAGTCTGGGCTCAGAGCCTAGGGATAATAAGAGTATTTCTGATTATAGAAAGAGCCAAGGAGGAATCCTAACAAGACCGTACCATAAGCTCTTGTCACTCATATTAGAGAAGGTTTAGGAACCATCAGTGGAGTAAGCATGTGGTCAGACCCAGACCTGGGCTCTAGGGCAGTAGCTGTCAGCTCAAGGAGTCCAGGGTTTACTGACTCGCATGTACACCCAGGCAACAGCAGCAGGTCAGCCCACTCACCTGGAGAAATGGGCTGAGGCTCCTGGAGAACCAGAATTAAAAGGCAACTATCGAGAACCCATTTGGAAGGACTCAGTGGGAGCTGTGTATACAGGCTTACCCTGCAGAGGCCTGCAGAGGGTTCCCAGATAACTGCTCCCAAGTGTTAGTAACATGGCCATTAAAACATGAATCCTAGTGG